GCCCTGCACCTTGTTGTCTCAGTAACCAGAGAATGCAGATTTAAGGTAAAAACTGGAGGTGAAATGAGTTTCTTTCATTTTATACAGAGTTGCTATGATCTGGAATTTGCAGCCAGAACAGTGAGATTGAAACCTATTCAGGAAAAGTGGTTTAGTGCTAACGTCATGGACTCATCATTCAAAGGCCTGGGCTAAATACTCTAGGGAAGTGGGTTCAAATTCCATTGTGAACTTGAATGATATCTGGAACTGAAAGCTTATCTCAGTCATGATAACCGTCCCAATTGTTAATCATTGTCATTTAAAAAATAAACCCATCTGGTTCACTACTGTCCATTCAGGAAAGAATTCAGCCATACTTACCTGGTCTGGTCTACATTTAACTCCAGACCTACATTAATATGATTGATTCTTATTTGCCCTTTGAAATGGTCCAGCTGTCATTGAGTTTGAGGAGCCATTAGGAGTGGCAGCATACACTGGCCTTGGTAGCAATGTTCACATCCCATGAAAGAATATAGGAGAAACGTTTTGAAAAGGATTTGAGATAAATGAGAGAGATAAAGAACAGGGGATTGACAGCTTATTGAAAGGTGTTAATACAGTAATGATGGACCTCTTGGCCTCTTCCAGTGCAATATCATTTTAACTGACTAAGACAGTCAGTTTCTTAGTTTGGGTCTTGGCTTTTTGTCAGTTCATCCATATATTGATGTCTGGGCAGGATGTCTGTTTGCTTTTTAAACTCTTCATTTTCATCATAATCGCCCCTCACAGCAAATATTTGCACCTCTACTGCTGAGGCTTGCACTTCCAGCGTCCATCAGTGATAGCCGTCATTGACCCTCTTTGTCTACCAGATTGTTTCTCTTAGCGGTGACTGCGCAGAATTGGGACCAGTACTAACACACAAGGAGCCTTTGTTCTTTGAATGGATAGGTGATACCTGCATATCTCTGGAGCACATAAGATGAGACAGGATGAATTGGCCTTGTGCACAGCTTGGGGCACTCAGAAACACTTTATTTATAATTGACTAAACTGAGCTGATAAGCATGACAGAGATAACACATTGTGGAGCTGGAGGAACACAGCAGGCCAGGCAGCATCAGGGGAACAGGAAAGCTGACGTTCCGGGTCGGGACCCCCAACTCAAAACAGTAGCTTTCCCACTTCTCTGATGCTGCCTGGCCTGCTGTGTTCCTGCAGCTTCACACACGGTTATCTCTGATTCCAGCATCGGCAGTTCTTAATATCTCTGATAAGCATGACAGAAGTGCTTTAGCAACCTTGTTTATTTGCGATTAGTGCCATACCTCCTGTTGGCCCTTTCAATGCATTTGCAGAGGAGGAGCAGGAGACACGGGAGGTGCAGAATCTGTGCTGGAATTTACTCCTGGTGGAAATGGTAGCACTATGCAAACTGGAAAAGATTTTATTTAACAGTAACTGTGACTAAGCATGCTCAATCATCTTAGTACTTCCACAATAGAGGGATTTTCTTTTCTGTCTGCAAACACCAGTGAATCACATATCCACCAGGACCAATCAGCATAGGATCTTGTTACAGCCTTGGTCAGGCAGCCATGGATAAGCCAGCTAAATTCCAAAAGAGATATGAGAGTGACTAACCTTGTCAGCAAGATAGCATTTGACTGAGCGTGGCATCAAGGAGTTGCAGCAAAACGGTAGTCGGTGGGAACTGGAGAAAAACTTTCTGCTGGTTAGAGTCATACCTAACCAAGGGAATATGTTTGTTGTTATTGGAGGCTGATCATCTCAGCATCAGAGCATCTCCTCTGTAGGAGTTCCTCAGTGTGGTGTTCTAGGTCTCATCATCTTCAGCAGATACATTAGAGCACTTTCCTCCATCATAAGGACAGAAGAAGAACGTTGGTTGATAATTACTGGGGAGGTGCTGGTATAATAGCAGTGTCAATATGAGTAATCCAGAGTCCCAGGCTAATGTTCTGGGCACAAAAGTTCAAATCCCACCATGGTAGACGGTGGAACTTGAATTCAATAAAAATCTGGAATTAACAAGAGCTAGTCTAATGATAACCACATGGTAACAACCACCGTCAGTTGTTGTAAAAACGCATTTGGTCCACTCCCTTGCTTTAGGAAGAAAATCTGCCATCCTTACAAATAACTGCAACTACAGCAATGTGATTGGCTCTTTGGCAATTATGGAAGGCAATAAAAACAGCAACACCCACAACCCCATGAAAAAATAAAGAAAAATATATCTAAAGGAAAAACGTTGTGCAATATTCAGGCTTATTTTTGCTTTCTCTGACACTGATGCTTTCTGTCATCATATTGAACAAAGCCTGGGCAACATTCAGGCTTGAGTTGACAAGTGGCATGTAACATTGGCAGTGACCACCTCTTATAAGAACAAATTTTACATCTCGTCAAGACATATTCAATAATATTACCATATCCTCCTTCGCCCCGCTCCCCGCCCCCATCACTGCTATCAACGTTATCATCGACTAGAAACTGAACCAGACCGGTAATACAAATATTTTGTATTAATACTCTCCTGACTCTCCAAAGCCTGTGCTAAATAACTCTCCTGACTCTCCAAAGTCTGTCCATCATCTACAAGGCACAAATCAGAAGTGTGATAGGATATATGCAGACATATATATGTGTCCCCATTGTTTAGATAAGCTTGTCTCCTACAGCAGTCAAGAAGCTTGACACCATTCATGACAAAGCAGTCTGCCTGATGGCACCATAGTCACTGCCTTCATCATTCACTCCCTCCACCATAGTGCACCATGGATATAATGGGTGATACTTAACAGGTATACTTGACAAGGCTTTATCAACAGAACCTAAAAATTGGTGACCCTGACCATTCCAAATGATAGGGTAGCAGGAAGTGTCGTCTTTTCTTGTCCAAATTTTACACCATCTTGACCTGGGCAGATACATTTATCGTGTCATCATCAGTAGGACTAGGCAGCATTTATTGCCCAGAGGGCAGTTCAGAGTCAACCACATTGCTGTGGGTCTGGAGTCACATCTAACTGCATTGTGGGAATGAATGACATCACTGCATGAACTCCATTGATGTGGAGGTGCCGGTGTTGGACTGGGGTGGACAAGGTCAGAAGTCACATGACTCCAGGTTCTAGTCTAACAGGTTTATTTGAAATCACAAACTTTCGGAGCACTGTCCCTTCGTCAGGCGGAGTGAGGAGAGGTACACAGACTCAGAATTTATAATCGAAGAGATCGAAAGATCATACAAATTGTGTGAGTGGAGTGTCGAATAATAAGTCTCTGCAGATGATCATGAGTATCAGATGGTGTGAGTAAAGTGTCAATAGCTGAATCTCAAGTGACGCGATGACCTATAATCTGATTAATTGAGGCAGAGAGATCATACTTTTTATTTATTTGTGGGATGTGGGCATCGCTCGCTGGCTGGCCAGCATTTATTGTCCGTCCTTAGTTGCCCTTGAGAAGGTGATGGTGAGCTGCCTTGTTGAACTGCTACAATCCACCTACCGTAGGTTAATCCATGATGCCATAAGGGAGGAAATTCAGGATTTTGACCCAAAAACAATGAAGGAATGATGATATATTTCCAAGTCAGAATGATGAGTGGCTTGGAGGGGAACTTGAAGGTGGTGGTGTTCCCATGTATCAGCTGCTCTTGTCCTTCTAGATGGAAGTGGTCATGGGTTTGGAAGCGGCTGTCTGAGGATCTTTGGTGAATTTTAAAATTCAATTACAAAGAATTAAAACTCAGGTGGTGCTGGTGACAAACCAAATGACTGGAATAACATGATGGGCATAAGAGTCTCATGCCGAGAGTCTAACCAAAGTAACAAGTAATCCAAAACTGTATAAATTTATTAAGGTAGAAAGATCATAACAAGTTATCAAGATGATGGTGTTAAAACAGGAGAGTAAGGAAGATTTTACAGATACAGAACAGTGTGGTGGGGTCACATGTAGCATGATATGAGCCCAAGATAATGGTTATTTTTTATTCATTCACGGGATGAGGGCATCGCTGGCTAGGCAGCATTTATTGCACAGAGGGCAGTTCAGAGTCAACCACATTGATGTGGGTCTGGAGTCACATGTAGGCCAGATCAGATAAGGATGGCAGTTTCCTTCCCTAAAGGATGTTAGTGAACCAGATGGGTTTTTCCGACAATCGGCAGTAGATTCACAGTCATCATTAGATTGTTAATTCCAGATATTAATTGAATTCAAATTCCACCATCTGCCATGGTGGGATTCAAACCCAGGTCCCCAAAATGTTATGTGGGTCTCTGGATTAACAGTACAGCGATAATACCACTAGGCTATCACCTCCCCTGTTGAGGCTGTCTTCATGGGTACGGAACTTGGCTATCAGTTTCTGCTTGGCGATTCTGTGTTGTTGTGTAACTCAAAGGCCACTTTGGAGGATGCTTACCCAAAGATCGGAGACTGAACATCTTTGGCCGCTGAAGTGTTCCCCAACTGGGAGGGAATATCCCTGTCTGACGATTGTTGCACAGTGTCCATGCATCCGTTGTCATAGCATCTGCATGGTCTCGCTATTGTACCACGCCTGAGAACGTCCTTGCTTGCAAAGTATGAGGTAGATAACATTGGCTAAATCACATGAGTATCTGCAGTTTACATGGTGGGGTGGTGTTCCTACGTGTGATGGTATTCCATGTCGATGATCTGCATGGTTCAATAATGTGCAGCTAGCAAGTGCCTTCCCAGGGATCACTAAGGATAGCTAGAAAATAAAGGCCTTACAAATGTTGTCCATGACCCAAGAATAAGTTCAGGAAAGCAGCCTGACTGTGTTCTATCCTCTTGTAATTTAGCCTCATATTCTCTGTTTGTTTTGTGTCTCTTTAGGTTCTATATTGTGTGAATCCAGATAACGAGAACAGCCCTGAAATTTCCACCAAGACACTGAACTGTGACACGATCACCCAGGTCAAGGAGAAGATTTTAGACGCTATCTTCAAGAATTTACCTTGTTCACACAGACCCAAAGCGGCCGACATGGATTTGGGTAAGAATTATCACTGAGGACAGCAACTCTCAACTCTACTATTCTTTGGCTGGGTGTGGTTTGGGCTCTTATATTGACTGACTGTATTTGAGTGAATTTCAGTGAATTAACTGTGGCTTCAGCTTCAAATCAAGACTCACCAGGAGCATAATCGTGATTACCCCAGACTTATTTCACACTTGACTTGTTATTTTTGCTCTCACCCAGATCCCCTTTAAAGTGAAACCAGGGTTCAGAGCTCATTGTACCAAGGTTGTATTGGCTTTGCCATAAGTTTCTTACCTGTCTGGCTTTTCACTGTGGGATAATTGGATACAGATTATTGAAGGAGCAGGTTTCATGGTTAATTAGCCTTTACCAGCTCCGGATTTCCTCATTCAAAACAACACTATGTTAGCTTTAACAAAAAAGCACAAATACTTCCTGCAAAGCCCAAATGCTTCAAATCTACTTGAACAGGAAAATGGAGCACCCAATCAGTGTTCTCACTGATGTCTCAGCCCTAAGACATTACTCGAATTTCTGAAGTGGGACTTGAACTTTCTAACTCAGAGGCAAGACAGCAACCCACTGAGCCACAGCTGGCAGCATTTTATAGATACGGTTTTGGAAAGCTTGTTCTCTGAGAAAGGATTAGAAAAGATAAAACCTTCAACACAGCAGTCAACTCAATAAAAGCACCACAACTTTCCAGAAGGAAACTGTGGAAAATCGTTCAGAGCTGGGAAGCTCATGACCTTTGTTAGACACTGCTTTCAAACTAAAAGTCAATGGGACTTTGATAATAAACACACTACCTAGTGCAGACCAGCACTGTGCACCTAGAAATGATCTCAGCTTTGACCCTTGCTCTGCACTGATATGACCAATTTCAGTTAAGGGTCGGTTAGCCTCAGCTCCCTTGGATAGGATGGTAACAAGTTCAGCCTGAGTTATCACTCTCTATGTTTTGACTTTGGTTGAGATTGCATATTCACTTTGCTGTTCCGTTCAAACAACAGGGAGTGGTTGATGTGAACATTTAAGGAGTAGCTAGACAAATATATCAGAGAGAAAGAGGTCGAGGGTGAAGATAATAAATTTAGATATGAAAAGCTGGGAGGAGATTCAGGAAGAGCATAAACATCGTCATAGACAAGTTAGGCCAAATGGCCTGTTCTGTCCTATATGCCCCATCTAATCTTGCTTGCATTTACATTGGGAGATGGTGGTAGAGGAGTTTTGTCACTGGACTAGTAACCCAGAGATTCAGGATAATGCACTAGGGAACATAGGTTCAGATCCCACCATAGCAACTGGTAGAATTTGAATTTAGTTAATAAATATAAAGTATAACACTATTGTCAGTATTGGTGATGATGGCAACTATTATTGATTGTTGAAAAAGCCCATTTGGTTCACTTTTGTCCTTTAGGGGAGGCAATCTGCCTTCTTACCTAGTCTAGCCTACATGTTGCTCCAGACTCTTAGTAACATGGTTGACTCTTAATTGTCCTCTGACATGGCCTTAGCAAGCTTCTCAGTTCAAGGGCAGTGAGGAATGAGCAACAAATACAGGCTTTACCTGCAATGTCACACATCCCAGGAAAGAATAAGGAAAAAAAATAGTCTCAAAGAGCTTCACAAGAAAGTTACTGATCAAATTTTGACACTGAGTCATGTAAAGAGACATTAGGACAGGTTTAGTCAAAAATAGTTAGGTATTAATCCATGGTTTAAAGGAAGAAAAGGAAACGGTAAGGTACAGAGAGAGGGAGTTTCTGTGCTGACAATGAAGGAAGCTGAAGGTACAGCCACCAATGGTGTGATTACTATATGTAGGGATGTGCAAGTGGTCAGAATTAGAGGAGTGCAGAAACGTTGAAGGCTGGAAAAGTTAATATGGATGGGGGAAGGGTGAAATTGTCGTGGTCTTTGAAAACAAAGATGAAGATGCAGCCAAATAATATGCTGCCGGTAAAGGTGTGTGTTGAAATGTGAAAAAAAAAACAAGCATTTGGTGAGAGACTGGGAATCACGATACAGTGTGAGTTTTTACCACTTGGGTGACAATGAGGAGGCGGGCAACAAAGGTGGCACAAGGAGGGCAATTACATTAAACCTTACACCCCAACAAAACAGACTGCTGCTGATTTTGTCCAACCTACACACTGGTGGAAAAAGATGATACATCTTGAATGACCTCCAAAGGAAAAATGTGATAAGGTTAACCTTCTAGTCAGAATTGATTAAACCACTTACAGGCAGCTTTTGAGCTGAAAAAGATTTCCTCCTTATCTTTACGTAGTTCAGACTTCCTCCCCCATTGAATGAAGTGCTTGTTTTCTTTAGATAATGACGCCCCATTGATCCATGATGTGAAGCCGAGTAGACTTTGCAATTTCATTGACTCTTTTTTTAATGTTCTCTTCCCCTTGCTGCCTCATCTGTTAACTTACACTCAACAGAGTGGCGACAGGGAAGGATGGCCAGGGTGATCCTGCAGGACGAAGATGTCACTACAAAGATAGAGAATGACTGGAAGAGGTTGAACACACTGGCGCATTATCAGGTGAGATGGGGGAGGTGATTGGCTGTGCTGGGTCAGCTGTCAATCACCGTTCTTGAGAGAGAGAGAGAGAGAGTGAAAGCAGTATTAGATTGCTCAGATTAATTCCTTGTGGTGATGTAAACTGCAGATTGTTTCCTCTGATAGAAACGTCCTTTCTTCATTAATGTGCAAATAATTTGGGAGATAAGCCATCAACTGCTAAATTAGGGATTTGACTTTGGACCACATTGGTGTTAAATTAAATGTCACAATGTTGACTGTCAGCACGGAGGTGGGAAGAAAAAACAGATGAGAAATTGATTGGATTGGAGATGAGATAATGAAGACAGGAGTTAATTCTTTCACCGGAAAGGGCAAGTTATCCTTGACAAATCGTGTCAAAATTTCCAAAGCTGTTAGGACTCTGGCAGCACAGGTGGCTCCTCTATCGAAAATGATAGATATTTTTTGCTCTTTGGTGATTTTAATGCTTGCCTGTGTAAATAAGTATGAAAGTTTCTGTGTCGTAACAATCTAAGGTTTGCAAATAAAGAACAAATTGGAAGCAAGATATTTGTGGATGCTGAAAACCTGAAATAAAACAAAGTGCTGGAGAATCTCAGCAGATCTGGGAGCATTTGTGGACAAAGGATTAAAGTTAACGTTTGGAGTTTAATGTGACTGTCCTTTGGAACTCAGTTCTGAACTTTGTTTCAGTCTCCCCAAAAGCAGCCAGACTGCTGAGTCTCTCCAGCACTGTTTTTATTTCAGATCTCCAGCAATATGCTTTCAGTTCAGAAGCTAATCTTTGTGCTTTAAAATCACTGAGAGAGAATACAAAGCTAATATCTTCAATCAAGGAACCCCCCCCCCCCACCATTCCCATCAAGGTTTCTCCAGCATATTCTATTTTTTTATACAAAAATTACTTTGATAATCATGTCCACATGTTTTCTATTGGGGTATAATCAATTTAAGTGAAGAGACAACACTTGAATTCTGGTAAAAGTTTGAAAAGAATAATGTTAACTGACTTCTGCTGAGAGTCAGTGCATTGAAGAAGCAATGGCACATTACAGCTGTGCTAAAATTCATGTTTATGATTGCACTCTCCTAAAACCTGACCATTTTATTTCATTCTTTGTGCACTGGGTGTGATCGATGCAGTGAATATATCATGCTGCATCTCCACCCCTGATATCCTGCTTTACACTGACATTAGACAAGTGAAAGTCTTGTCTTCCATTTCAGGACATGAAGCATTTGGACGAGACCAGTCCCAATGTTAAAACATCCTGTGATATGGCGCAGGTTGTAAATCAGATGGTAGCTTAAGGCATGTTGTTGCAACAGACCATAGAGAACTTCACTCTGCTTCTAAACTGTGCAGTGGTCAACATGAGAGTTCCTTCTGAAAAAATTGAACATCAAAAGTAGAACTGTATCATTCCCCATGAATGATACACTCTCCTCAATGAGCACAAAAAATGAGATAAAAATATATGGTCCAAATATTGCATGCAATGCAAGACAAAGGAAACATCACCATCTCCAACTATTCCTCCATCCAAACATCGTAAGATTTTAAGATATATGAGCAGAATTAGATCATTTGATTCATCAAATCTGCTGCACCATTTGATCATGGTTGATATGCTTCTCAAGTCCAGTCTCCTGCCTTCTCCCTATAACCCTTGATTCCTTACTAATCAAGAACTATCCATCTTTCCCTTAAGTACATCCAGTGATGTGGCCTCCATAGCCTTCTGAGGTAATGAGCTCCACAGACTCGCCACCCTCTGGCTGAAGAAATTCCTCTTCATCTCACTTCTAAACTGTTGTCCATTAACTCTGAGGCTGTACCCTTGGGTTGTAGTCTCTCTTACTAGTGAAAACATCTTCTCCACATCCATTCTCTCTGGGCCTCTCAGTATTCTGTAAATTTCAATCAGATTCCACTTCCCCCAATTATACTTCTAAGCTCCATTGAATACAGACCTGGAGTCCTCAACCTTTCTGCATATGACAAGCCCTTCAGCCCCAGGATCATTCTTGTAAACCTCCTCTGGGCCCCCTCCAAATGCCAGCACATCCTTCCTTAAAAATGGGGCCCAAGACTGGTTACAGTATTCGAAATGTGGTCTAACCAGAGCCTTCTACAGCCTCAGCACTGCATCTCTGCTGTTGTATAGCCCTCTTGAAATGAATGCGAACATTGCATTTGCCTTCCTAACTGCCAGCTAAACCTGTTAACCTGAAGGGAGTCCTGAACCAAGACTTGTAACTTGCTTTGTGCTTCACAGATCTGAAGCCTTGTCCCATTTAGAAAATAGTATATTTTTCCCACCAAGGTGTGTAACCTCACAATATCCCACATTGCATTCCATCTGCTCGCCACTCTCCTAGCCTGTCCAAGTCCTTCTGCAGCCTCCCTGCTTCATCATAACCAGTCCCTCCACCTATCACTGTGTCATCTGCAAATTGAACAACAATGTCCTCAGCTCCTTCGTCCAGATAATTAACGTATAATGTGAATAGTGGTGGTCCAAACACTGAATCTGTGGAATTCCTCCAGTCACTGGCTGCCATTCTGAAAAGACCCCTTTTACCTGCCTTCTGCTAGCCAGCTAATCCTCTCTCCATGCCAGTATCTTGCCCCTAACACTATGGGCTCTTACCTTTGTTTTAAAATTCAAGGGATGTGGGCATCACTGGGTAGACCAGCATTTATTGCCCATCCCTAATTGCCTAGAGGGCAGTTAAGAGTCAGCCACATTGCTGTGGGTCTGGACCAGACCTAAATGAGATTAGTAAACCAGATGAGTTTTTCCTGACAATTGCCAATGATTTTATGGTTATCACTGGACTCTTCATTCTGGATTATTATTGGATTCAAATTTCACTATCTGCCATGGTGAGATTCAAACCCAGCTCCCTCAGAACTTTACCTGGGTCTCTGGATTAATAGCCTAGCAATAATATCACTAGACTGTCGCCTACCCTTATTTAGCAGCCTTCTGTGCAGCACCTTGTGAAAAGGCCTTCTGGAAATCCAAATAGATTACATCCACTGGCTTTCCTTTGTCTAGTTACCTCCTCAAAGAATTCTAACAGATTTGTAAGGCATGACCTCTCCTTGATGAAGCCATGCTGACTCAGTCCTATTTTACCATGCAGGTCTGGCATCACCTGTGGAGGAGAAGACAGAGTTAAGGTTTCGGGTCCAGTGACCCTTCCTCAGAACTGAGTTCTGAGGAAGGCTCACCAGACCTAAAACGTTAACTCTGTCTTCTCCTCCGCGGATGCTGCCAGACCTGCTGAGCTTTTCCAGCAACTTTGTTCTTGTTCCTGATTTACAGCATCCGCAGTCCTTTTGATTTCTATTTTACCATGCATTTACCAAGTACTCCAGCAGCTCATCCTTAATAATGGACTCTAAAAATTTACCCAACACTGAGGTCAGGCTAACCAACCTATAATCTCCTTTCTTCTGCCTCCCTCCCTTCCCTACACTTTCCTTAAGCTCCCTAATCAAGTCTGGCTCATTACCACCTCACCAAATCCAGATCTGCCTGTTCCCTAGTGGGATCTACCACAAGCTGCTCCAAAGAAACACTCGTAGACATTTCACAAATTTTTCTTGGTATCCACTACCAACCAGATTTTCTTAGTCAACCCGCATATTGAAGCCCCCCCTCCGTGATTATTGTAATAGTGTCTTCCTTACATGCCTTTTCTATTTTCTGATTTATTTTCTTCCCCACATCCTGACTACTTCTAGGAAGCCTGTACGTAACTCCCCTCAGGATCTTTTTTTCCTTTGCATAGCCTCAACTGTACCTACAAGGATTCTACACCTTCTGACTGTATATCACAGCTTGCTATTGATTTAATTTCATTTCTCACTAACAAGGCAAACCCGCCCTCTCTGCCCATCTGCCTGTCCTTTCAGTAGAATGTTTATCTTTGGAGAATAAGTTCTGAGCCCTGATCCCCCACAGCCATATCTCTGTGATATCTACAATATCGTACCTGCCAATTTCAAAATGAGCTACAAACTAATTTGAGATAGTAGGAACTGCAGATGCTGGAGAATCCGAGACAACAAGGTGCAGGGCTGGATGAACACAGCAGGCCAAGCAGCA